TGTACATAGGTGTACATGTCATCATGCATCATTCGTTACATCAAAGGCCACAACACGAAGTAAAACCTTTGGCAGTTTGCCGATACCCTTGTGTAAAATCATTTTACACCGATGATCAGGGTGAAGAGGTTCCACATGTTAGGGCCACGCCCTGTTTTAAATGTCCAATCTTGCTCAGTCCTGCATGTCCCTTCTTTCCACGGTCACTCAACTTCCAGTGCGTGCACGTGAGAGGAGTTTAACGCACCACAAATTACAGGAAAACCAGAAACCAATTTACATGAAAACATCAACCAACTAGCGATGAGTCATTTAAAATATACAGGTGCCAAGAGGTGTCAAGCCCTGAAGGTGCACAAAGCGCACGTTACAGGGGATGAGTACAAGCATGGACATGAATGTACATGTACATGTCCGTGTATTTACCACAATATAATGTGCAAACATGGGTAATTCCAGAAATGAGGGGTCCATTTTTTTCATGTCCCTGTCACATGTGACACAGGATTTTGTAAGTTCAGACCACTCTTTCTAATCTCCAAGAGTGGGGAATGAATTTCAAGTACCTGCCAAACAAATGCATGTAGTAATAGTTTGAAATCAATTCCGGTGATATTTCCATGTCAAATAACAAAGGTCAGATGTGACAGGGACACAAAAATGTCACACTTTTGGACCTCCAGTTTTTGGACTGTACATTACAACTTACATGTATATTGTATGCACCAGTATGGGGTAGGCGCTTTAACGGCCTACGCAATGCTGGTTTTCAACATAAGTGTTTTACATGTATGTCTGCACATATTGCGGGTCTTTCCAAAATTTCAGGGTTCGATATCTACAGTCCTCAATGTACATGTACAAGGCTTGCCCTGGTGCTTTGAACTGATTCTCAGCAAAGAATACCAGAATTTAAATTGGCCATTATGAAAAGATTCCGACGTGCCTTTCAGTGTTGGACATGATCTGCAGCATGGTCGCTGGAATTCTCCCGCTGACAACCAAAACATGTACATGTACGTGTACATACATGTATGTACATGAACTGGTATCTTATCCTAAGTGTCAGTGAGCCTTTTACATGTACATGTAGGTTGAAAATGGTTTCACTATTCCCTTTGCCCACTACACATCAATGTGGTGAAATGGTCCGTGTAAATACATGTACACGTATGTACAAGTACATGTACGTACATGTAGATGTACATTATATAAACAGAATAATAGCTTATGGTAATCTCGTTACGGACATTTTTTAAATGATAATTTTTACTGACACCAGCCATAAGAAAATTCCCATGAATTCAGTTCAGACAGCATGTCTTCTCGACGACAGTCCGGCGCATTAAAGACTGTAATCCTTTGTGGCGAGGGAGCAACGATGCCAGACGCACAATTCGACGCTGGTGTAGCAAATTCACACACACAAAAAGCCCTACAGGGCACACATGGGCACAGTTTTGACCTTGCTTTGACAAGAATCTTTTGTGCTTGCCCGAGGGTGCATGATGCCTGACAATGATCCAACTCTTGAGGGTGGTACCCTGCACCTATTCAAGAACGCAGCACAGACATCTGAAGGGAAGCTGTCGAACAATTTATCACGCTTTTAAAAAGCAGATGTGCTCTACAATGTACCATGTATGTTTGGTAGCAATGCCTTATTGCATACATCTGTACATATAGACGTGCGTAATTTGAATAGAATTTTTTTAACGTCAGTACACAGTGTAGTGATTAGTCCTAGGTATTGGTAAGTTGTTTGATCTTCTGGAACGGTTACATTATATTAAAAAAAAATCTCTTTAGCAACGGTTATCACCAGTTGGTCTATCGAGATACTACACAGTGAAAACAAAATCCGGCACAACGAAAAAGGTTTGTGTGCGCATGACTGAGAGTGGACAGCTGGGTCTTTGAGTGGGTGTTTGGGCGGCTGGATGGGTGTCTGGGTGGAACTTAACCCAGTGTGTGAGTTTATATTTGTTTACATGTAGTTGGGTGTTTGTGGAGGTACTTGAGGCGATTGTTTTTCCTGGGGTTTTGTTAGGATTCCTGGCTGGAAGCTGTAAGCACTGTAGGTCCGCGCTGTAGCTTAGTCGAACTCGTAAGGTCAAGGGATTAAATAATTATTGCATTAACGAGAGATCTAAGCTATGTTTACAAACTAAGTCGTGCAACTTACTGCTCAATGTGACATGTACGTCAAAGCAGGAGTAAAGTAGGCCCATCTTTCTACTCAAGCTTGCAGAGAGATTGTGACAACTCACAAGCTCATTTCAGCTGGACTCGAGCCAAAATGTCCACTTCCAGCTCACCGCCAACGATGTCTCAAACAAACGACATGCACCTTAATTAAGAATGTACTGACAATTATCTGCAATGCTGCTTGAAGCGCATGAACACATGTATCTTGGAAGCACTCTGCTGAAATGAAAAACCTACACTGTACCGTTATCTCTATAAAGGTCAAATCCATTCAATTTGGCAAAGAAAATTGGGAAACTTACATTTTGATAGAAGCATGGATCAACAAAAAGGCTGTAGAGATTTTTGCCCAAGCAATGATATTGCTGGATACCTCAATTACCGTCACAGACAATGTTTTCAAAAACTTGCACAGAATGTGAATTCCCTCTAACACAGACTTAACACAAGGAAATTCAGCCACAATTGACAAAACAAAATCAGTGATCAGTGAGACCAAACCTGTCATTTGAAAAGTAATTGAACTTTGCCTCCGGGCTACACAAAGGGAAGGGGATATCTTTTACAGAGCTTGTTAGAGAGAACTGTCTAATTTGGTTTCCATCGGACTTTATGCCCATATAATAGGGGCCCACCTGAAACCATTAAGGACCATGCAAGTACCCGAGTATATGTTTGCTGACCCAAATCACAATACATGTACATGTACTCCAGACTTGTCAGTACACGGCTAATCTGTGAGCCGGCCATGCACGGGGAAAGGGTACTGACTGGCAAATTCAAACATTTTGTATGCATGACAGGACAACGTAACTATATGGTAGACATGTACATTGTACATGTTGAAAGACATGTACAGTGCAAGTATTGGTACATGTACCTGTCACATGTGAGCATTTCTCTCAGGTTTCAGCAGCTTACATGTATATGTACATGTATGTACACACATTTACATGTACATGCATGCACAGGCCTTCACAGATGTGCATGTACATGTACAGTACATACAGTGTACATGTACATGTGACAGACATGTACATGTACCAGTGCATAGAACAAAGGGGTAAATTTGTACATGTATAACATGTACAAGCTCTAGTGCTATGATGCAAGAACAGTGTATGTAAATTTTCAAGTAAATATAATCGACTCTCTTTACAAAGAACACTACCAGAAAACAGATATACATGTAAAGACTACATTCCGAGAATCCCGGTTTCTTTTTTTTGATGTTTTTTTGGTTTTTCCACTCCTTTTATAACAAAGTCCAGGTTATAAAAGTAATTTTTCTGGTCCCTGTTTCTTTGTTATAATTAGAGTTGACTGTATTTCTGTATCTGTGTGTACAATGTACTGTTGGGTAGATAATCAAGGCTCAAATTATGTACGGTGTACATGTAGATGCATGAAGTGTACTGGGATATTAGCATGACTGGTGACCTCCACCGCGGGATGTCCTCTAACAGCCCTGCTCTAACATGGCATATCTTTCTGGTGCGGTAACCTGGGATGTCCCAGGTGACAAATGTCACACACCTCCAGTTCCTGTTTCCGGGATATCCCCGGTGCACCATCCGCATGCTTTTTTACCCAAGGAAATTAGTCTGAAACCAAGTTCAACCCAATAGTCCGTTTGTGATCCCCCGTTACTCAGAGAATGCCGTTGACTTCCACGGTATCCAAAGATATCATAAAACAAGACGTGCAGAACCCAACAAAACAAGATTCTTCTACATGTACATGTATATAGCCCCTAACCCGACATAGTACTACGAATTACTAGTTGAAGTAAAATGTATTATTCAGTCCCGTCGCTTGTAAGGGGACGTGACCTTATTGTTCTCTGAAGCCATAAGATAAAATAGAAAAGACAATGTACCATACAGTGCTGTGGCACTGTGAATGCATGGCTTTATTGTTCTCTGTACCAGTAACAATGGAAGTAACCTAGCCAGAAGTAGTAATCTGTAGCGCTAGGTCCTTCAGGCTCAGGCTATTACTTAGTATTTTGTAGTAACGTGTAGTGTAAGCCAAACAATATGCTTGGCGGTTAGGGTTAAGCCACGGCAAACTCCCACGTAACCTTCAACCTTCGTCCCAATGAAAGGACACGTGCGCATGCATTCATTGCTCTTCATCCACTTCCCTTCTCAACCCAAGGAGCGACACCCAGAGCAAGAAGGAGTTCACACGGGCCAGAGAGATCTCCAGCGTGTTTGCCGAACCATTAACACCGGCAACAGGAATATTAGTCCACGTGACAAAAACCAGCGGCGACTGGAAGACGCGGAGTTATCCCGGGCAAGCAAAAACAGCAAGCGGGAAAATATTGGATGTGTGAAGAGAAAATAAGGGCGTGCAAGAAATTCTCGCACATCCGTGTACCGTACATGCACGTACAATTATGAACATGCCAATTTGCGTTCCGGTACATCAGGGGAATTGCAACCCACTGGCCCAAATTTGGCAAAGCGCAGAGAGTGAGCCTAATGAAAGTTCCACGGAGAATTTTCTTCCCCTGATTACAAACTCTTACATCGATGACGTTTGTCAGGATTGTTCGCGGGCCTCCAGGAAATGCACATACGGGCCATGCGCCAACTGCCCATATTCATTTCACAATCCAATGCAGCAACACGTGAAAAGGTTAAACGGAACTTAGAAAGCAGGAAGAGTGCTTTCAAATAAATGTGTGAACGAACCTCGCATCGTTTCAAGAACTGAAACGCGGAGGGTTTCACCACCCTGCTGCGTTTTTCCTTTTTGAAGGAGATCACTCATACATGTTCCGGTATTTACATGTTACATGGTAAGAATCTTTTATATAATTCTCGTGAGATTCAGCAATTGGGACGATTGATGACTTCCAAAAACTTCATCTTACTTATAAGCAATTCATACATGTCATCATGTGTGATCATACAATGGGTCATTCCATGAGGTTGGGCACAATTTGTGACGGTGTCAACTGTTACATGGGTTCCGTACAAATGAACAGCTATTTCCCTGCATGTGGATTCCAAATTGACATTGTTATACATCTTGCTACAATGCGGCTGGATACAGAGGTGTGTTATTTTTACAGAGTAAATGACCTACTCTCCAGGTCATGACAGGTGGTGAAAGTTGTGGAGGTAACTAGAAGGACACCGTCACAAATTGTGCCCCAACCTCATGGAATGACCCACTGCGATAAGCAATAATTATGGAGGAAATAAACATCTGAACTTCAGTAAGATAAACAGAACATAAACATCAAGGGAAGTTTGTCCGAATTCCACAAACCAGCAAGAGACCGCTCGCCGCAGAATAAAGGAATAAAATTAGCTGTAACAGCCCCCCAAAAATATTTTAAACAGTCACAGGGATTTGTTTCACTTTGATTATTAGTAAGAAGAAACGCACCTGTTTATGTGGAATGTTTACAAAAATGCATGGTAGTTGTGTAAGCTGTGAAACTGCTTGTGTGGCCACATACAGACAGGTAAATGCTTTATAAGGTTCTGTCTTCCCTTTTTTGGGGGGGTTGAGGTGGGGAGTTCTTCACAAAAATGACTTTACTATCATGCTGAACCATCACATGGATATCTTTCGGACCCCAAATTTACAGAATGACCCTTCCACCTTGTCAACAACCAACGTGCACTATTAGTAACTGGGGTGTTACAGCGGGACGACAAGCTGAAAAAAATATTTCCAGAGGCCTGGAGTAGGAATAGATCAATTATCTCCCGAACTGATGACAGAAGGGACACAGGTTTTACTTTCAAAAACCAATTGACAGTATTCACTTTCTGTCACGCTCACCTTATACACCTGACCGTAGGTTCCATTGCCGACCACTTCCATCAGGTCAAAGATTCCGGCCGGATCCTGACGTTTGACAGAAACAGGGACAAATATGTGACCAAATTAGTCTGAAAACTCGAGGTTGTGATAATCTTACAATGGAAAAAATCCATTGGAAAAAAATGCAGTATCCCGACTACGAGCAGTATGGTTGAAGGTACATGTACCAAATAAGAAATGAGGATAAGAAAAACAGAGGACCGTGAAACATTTTGCGTTTTCTCAAAATACAATGAACTTCATGCATAATTTACTGGAACAACCAAAAAGGGCGTATGCTTCTGTCTTACTTAAATACCAGAGTTTATACACGCAAGTAGTACTACAGCCAGTGTAATTAGGCTACATGTAGCTAGACTTTATTTTTTAATGTACCGGGTATGGCCTACTTTAAAGATGCAAAAATGTTAACAAGCCAGAGGGGCAATTGTGCAGTATTCTCTGCAATCATTTAAGCCTTCTCTCCTAAATATTCAAGACATATGGCACTGCATTGTTCTTGCACTGTGCCGTGTACGTCCCATCTGCCCATTGTTCAGTACCGGCTTATGTTACCCATTCATTGCCAGCACATTAGGCCCTATGGCCCACACAGGCCAATTTAAAAATGCAGGTTGCATTATTTCTTTCTACAAACGTAAACAAAAAATCTCACCCTTAAACTTGACAGATCAATGTCGTCCAAACTCCGCATTGCTGCCATGTTGATGCTGAAAAAAGGCAAATTTCTGACGGTCGATACGACAATTGCGAGTTCGTCAAGTCCTGAACATTGCCTTGAGTGTACAAATCAGTGAAGGGCCTTCGAAGATCATAAACACAAATTAAGGCTATCTCTTTCCCGATTTTTTTCTCCGATCTGTCGCAGCCTGGTTACAAATCCATCAACGCGGGAATGCACACAACAAGCAAATGTGTGATTGGAGTTTGAAAGTGGGCCAGATTTGGGGGTGACTAACCACCCACTTCCGCTTAGGAATTCCGATCGAATCTCAGCGTGATTCACGACGAAAAATTCTCCGCTCTAACCATCATCCGTGCATTAATCACAGACCATCCATGCATTGTGTGCGTGCATTTCACTACATGCATGTAAAATTGACGGGTATTCCTGGTACCCGGCGAGTGTCGTCTATATTGCAAATTGCCACATGCCCCAAATAGGGGGCCAACGATATGAGGATTGAGGGCGGCCTTTTCCTCCGAGCAGGGTCAGAGCCAGGGAGATCATGGTCTGGGGGAAGTGTTTTTCCGGCCAATCAACTACCCTTTGCTACCCCAGCCCTCAACAGTGGGGTTGATGGACTGCTAGATAGCCAGAAATACTTCCTGACAGTTTGTAAACACACGAAAAAATCATTAAAAAGTAAAACCACAAGTTAATAACTGCAATTTGAGCTTTTGTTTGTTTTTAGGTTAATGTGCACACCGAGCAACGACCTTTTCCAAATTGTTGGCAAAAGATTGAACAAAACTATTCTCAAGGCTTGAAAGAAATACTTTTTGATGGGATAAGATTCCAACTGAAAGTAATGCTATCCAACTTTTGTCCGATATTTGAGAAGGAAAATATAATAAAAGGAAGCGGGTTCGTTTTAAACATCTTTTTCAAACAATACACAAAATTTGTTTTTAATGTATCACTGTGCTTCTTTCAGTTTCAAAAAATACTAATTAACATAAAGAAAAGTTCATTGACTTTTTAAAACAACACCGTGCCGTTGTTTTAAAGGAACTATTTAATTATTTAAACAACAACAGCGAGATAGGTTTACCATTGATGGAACATTTTCATTAGATTTATGTTACGACCCGCCCAACTCAAGTTGGCCTCACAGCTCTCCTGACAGTACCGGAGTATGTTATCTTTTTAACATGTCCTGTAATTTGTTAAAAAATGTAATTTTAAGGCATTTGGGCATATTGGTGGAACTGTAAAATATACTTTGTTTTTCAGTAACACATTGCCTGCATAAGGACTAACTGCCATGTTGCCCACATCCTTTGCTTTACAGGTTGGGAAATAATAACCCTGAACTTGAAGACCACAGTTTCGCGTCTTTCGAAGACAGGCCCAAAAGAATGTGACTGAAAGAAAAGACAACTTTGGGAACTTCTGGAAAAGTAGCTTGACAAGCAGACTGTGCGTGTACTGGTTTGTAGGAGAGCAGAGAATTGCGGACAAGGGTGGGGGGGGGGGTTCCAACCGATAAATTAAAATCAGATGTCTCAATTCAACCATTCCCGAACACCGAGCTCCTTGCTTTCCTCTGGGGATTCATTTTTTTTTTATAATTATCGCCATGCAGAATTTAAACTAGAGGTCTAGGAGTGCCCAACTAAATTTTACTTTTTTTGACGTTGGTGGGATGGGTTAGTTTTTTTGGCGTGTGACGTGAAGTAATGTGCAGGTTAGCCCCACCCTCCCTTAAAAATCCTACCGAAGCAGTACCACTTGGAGGCGCTGTTTATGGTCTCCAATGACATCAAAACTCCAAATCACGGTGTACCAAAGCGCTAAGCCCGCGGATATCGACCGGTAGTCAGTCCCGTGCCAGCAAACAGAATCTTTCGACTGAATGAACTACATGTACATGTAAGGAGTAGGATCTCACGTACACGTCGCAAAAGGATGCCAGAATAGCTCCTGAACCTACCAAATTGTGAGTCGATCGGTTGATATCCTTTTTGGTTTTGCAACTTTAAAAAGATCCCACTTTTCAGAGCAGGCTTTTAAGTTCTTGCTACAGCATGCACAATGTGGGGGCACGGGGTAGCGGCCGGTATAGGTATCGCACTATAGGTTGAACGTTATTTGATTGGTACGCAGGAGTAGTGCTTGGCAGCGCTTGATGACTTATGGACGGACATCACCGGTGCCAGTTTTCAGATTCCTAGAAACTAATTGACCCAGTGTTCATTTTAAACTGCTGCTTGGATGTCTCTTTAGGTTTATCATGGAGCTATTTTACTTTATGTTTTGACTTTTAATGAGTTTTATGCTACCGTTTGGGCATCTTAAAATGACGCACTTCGGTTTTCCTTTGAATATTGTGGCGTGCTCGTACCAACATGGCCAACACTCACTTGCAGCCTTGAAAGTCACTCCTGAACAAGTTCTCAATCAAACAAAAATTTGGAAAGACAAAGCTTTTCCAGAAAGTTATCCCTGGGCAAAATGGTTAATTGTGTTATTTAGCAGCAAACTTAATAAATACAAATACTGTGGGGCATACATTTGCCCATAAAGCTGTAACCAGCGGCTATGAAAGATTGTCAGAGGCAGCCTTCCATTGGCCCACCTCCAAGCCAGGATTGCCGCACAACAGCGGAGTGTTCTCTTGGTGTATAAATTTGTTACGGAGTCCTTCACGAGTTTCTTATAAAATGGATACAAAAAGCAATGGCATGCAGAAAACATCTCGGAGATAACAAGTTTTCTAAGTAATTAGTTTAGGGAACGGTTGCTATAAGGTGCACATGTGATTACATTTTCATGGTTCTGGAGTCACTGAATTCATGTTTTAACTTATAAGACCAATGGCTTTTTTCATCTGCGTGCAATAATAAACGTAAAATATTTGATTATATATATTTGATCAAAATATAAAATATTTGATATCAGACATTGCCAAGTATATCTTAAGCTGAGTACATTTTTTCCAGTGACCAAATATGATCACACAAAAGGCCTCACTTCTGCCATGTTGGGACTCCTTAACTAATCGTAAAGGAGCTATTTTTCCCAGTGCTGTCATCCAAGTCCCCTGCTTTTCCCAGTTGGTTTATTTTTCCCCAAATGGCTGGATAACAGAAACGAAACGTTGCATTTTTGTTGACCAACAGGGTTCCATAATCCCTATGACTGGTCATAAATGGGCCTAATCCTCTCTCCCCCCCATATTTATTGCAAAATATAATAACCACGTGCATTTTGGTGGGTAAGATTTATTTACTTGCAGTTTTATTTTGTTGCATTGAATTTCATTTTGATAAATTTGGTCCATGATGATTATTGAACATTATGTATTTTTTCTATGAAAAGTAAATTAAAGGCCGAACGTGTTACCGAATCAGCCATATAAAGCATTACAACTGTTTAATTCAAGGTTGTCCAAAATTTCATGAAGTTGTTTGTTATAACAACAATTTTTCTTTTTTTTTTTTTTTTGTAAATTAAATGCATAAAATTCAGTGTCAGAAATGACACTTTTTTCACCAAAGACTTTGTTTCTGTCAAGATGGTTAATACTTTCATCAAGGATTTTTCTCCCTTTCCATTTTTCATAAAAATTTCTGTAAATGAAAGGTTTGAGAATCTTGAATTTCAAAAGATTTTGCCCTACTATTGAGAGTTCTCAAAAGAAAACTGCATTTTCTCAAAGTGGTTAAAACAGTTTACTTGACTGAAAAAAAAAGCAACCAAATAATTGGCTGATCAAATTATTTATTTAGCTACTGAATACAGGCATTCATGAGCCCAAGATCATTTACCGTATATTGGCAGTAATATTGTTGTACTGGGGTTACTGTTAATCCTTGACGCCCATCAATGGTCACCCCATCAATTAATACAAATTTTTCATTTTCACCAAGTACAATTGCGTCATTTCGATCAGAGACACTGGAACCATTAGCTCAAAACAAATGGATGCTTCAATTTCCAATATAATTGGTTTTGCTTCAAAATGAAACTGTGAACCTGTACAAGCACGTCACACTGCAGTGGACTTAATGAATATTTGATCATGGATGAGGCTGATATTAATGGCCCCAAAAAAGCTCTTCTAATCTGACATTCGTATTTACAGGTAATGCCTCACAAGTGAGGACCGCAAAACTAATCGTTTTTTTTTACCCATCATTCGGTCCTGTGAAAAGAATTAATAACAATGTACACGTGCAGGAAGGGCTCTCTAGATGAAATATATGTACCTTGTACCTGCTTGAAACTACATGTACATGTAACAACCTTAGTCCATCTGTAATTTTTTTCCCTTCAATTTATACGTCTTGTACGGGGTACTGTGGGAACTGTTATTAGGGACCAAGTGTTTCTCAAACTTAGGGGGAGGGGCCTACACCTCTGGAGGAGGTGTTCCAGAAATTGCTTGGGGGGTGTGGTTAGGGTCCTGCCTCCTGTCTCTAGTGCGGGTTTCAGCGTTACAGAAAACAGAATGATCAAGAAAAATTTAAATGCTTCGCTCTTTGAATACCGCTGACGATGAACATGTACACATCCTTGGTCAGGTGTGGTGCTACCCTGGCAGAGGGAAAGAGGGGGGGCTGGTAACTTGGATGAGAAGTTGCAAAAAGAAGTTTTTTAATTTCAGTCACTGGTTGCCCTGTCCTAAAAGTCAAGCCATTTTTTTTTTAAATTGATTGACTGATTGGACTCGGGTCCAGGTCCATCTCAGACACTATTGATACATGAGGATGAGTTGAAACTGACTGCTGGAGCTGAGGCTACCGGTAAGTCTGTCATCACCGCGTGTCTGCGTATTTGCATCAGGAAAAGACGTGAACCCACGCAACGGTAGCTCTGGGGACGATGTGGAAGAGGCTGTCATTTCACAGGGCTCTTGTTTTTATCCTGTTTGGCTTGAGATGGATTATTTTTTGGTAGAATATCATGCATGGAGTTTTACCGGATAAAAACCCCGCCCAAAATTTTTCCTGGCCGTGCGGCTACAGTTACATGTACAAGCAGACAGCAAACCATAATTATTTTGTCAGGAGCCTAGAAGCGTGCAGTCGTGCATGCAAGCAATAATACCCCTTTGGTCAAATCAATTTTCTCCATGGTGAGCTGTAGTCATTAGTAGAGTATGCCATTTCATCTTCTGTACATGTAAGTGTATGTTGTCAAAAAGGCCCAAGATTCCAGGATTGCCATGGAGACTGCAGTTGTTGCTGGTAATGACAAAGGTCATCCGTGAGGGGTTAGGAAGTCAACAATTTTTTCAGTAAGCAGAATCAAGCACGGGAAGGCAAGGCAAATATTTCAACTTCAGCAAGTAAATTCTACCAAAATGAGGGTCCCGTTTCATGGCTTTGCCCAGCTGTATAGAAAGTAGTGCCAACTTCAGACTTTGGAACCAAAATGGCTGCTCATTATGCGTACAGTACAGCATGCCGCTATCATTGTCCATGTGCTCTGACGAATAATCCACCATTTTGGTTCCACATTTGAGACACTCATGTCGCAACTCTCTCTATAAACAGCTCTCTCTTTGCCAACCATGGAAGTCAACTCTTCAGATAACATTCAATGCTTTGGCCAAGCAAATACCAGTGCCGGTATATTAAGGCACAGATCCTGGTAAAAAAGTAAAAAAAACAATGCAATGAAAAGGCAGGTGAAAACACTTTTATTTGGATGTTGCTTTGATTATTTACATACGTGTATATCCCGTTCATATTTTAGGTCTGAATTTTTATTTACCCAAAATATTAGTCAACTGATTTGTGTCAGGATTTCTGCTCATTTGAAGCATTAACCAAGCAACCGAGTCAGTATTGTCAGTAATAGGGCCTCTGGCATCAGTTAATCTCTGTTTGAATGGTCACTGAATGGCTGCATTTATGCGTTTTGAAAAGTGAGATTTTGGGATTTTTTTATCAGGGTTTGTGGCACACACAAGTTCAGTTCCCCTCATTACTTGCAGTTGTTTGGACTGTTTCGAAGCCGTTGCTTCATCAGTTTTTATCCTTGTAAGGGTGGGTTCATTGGGTTTACAACGTTCATGGTTGGTGGATTTTGACAGACACAGGATTGTGGAGCACAGTTTCCATCCTGATCCTGTTCAAAAACCAACAGGACAACGTATATTGGCAGATGAAAAGTTTCTGCCGAACGCCGCACGTGAGGGTGTACGTGTGTTCATGTACATGTATGTGCAGACGCGTTCATGTACGCGTACCTGTGTGTACATGTATGTAGTAGTGTAAGGCAGGTTTAGACTCTGGGCTACGGTACAGGCAGACACTGATGCACATCCCAATGGCCGTGTGAACATTCACCGTGCATTTTGTCAGACCAGTCTCACAATTTCAAGCGATTCTCCTTGCTGTCTACCTGTGCAGTCTTGTCAACAGTTTGGTTACCACGGCGACGCTCCACCACGCTCCAACAGCGTCCCCAAGTTCCAGGGTTGAAAGATGGATGTGCACACTCCACCTCTGCTCTGTGCTGTCGCTTGAGGCGAGACCAGTCATGCAGCCAAAATGTTCAAGCAAGTCAGTGGGTGTTGATAATGCCCTGGTGCTCTCCGTTCCATCCAAGCGCTTGTGTGCATTACGTGTATTTGACGCCTGAGTGACACATTAGAATTATCCTATCATTGCCGAGCATTGCGGCTCATTAAATGCAAATTACGTGTAATTTGGCCCGGCAAGTTGCCAATTCGTTTGTCTGCTTCAGCATCAGCTTAGCTTATTTGGCATGAGGAAATTGATTTTGTGGAGGAAAGTCAGCTCCTCTGAAAGTGAAGGTAGGTTTTTCTAATTTTTGGACTTACATGTAGTGTGTGCCGCAGTCATGTATCTTCATTGCTTTAGACCAGACAAGGGAAAGCTTCAATTGTGCAGCGATTTTGGTGCCACTCATAATGATGCATCACACTGTAATTTGGCGTCTTGCTCTCTGGATCAATCGTTGTAATCTCTGCATTCCATCTTTGTGCACTTGTAAAATATGCATGAAGACCTTGATGATACATCAGGCCAAGGTCTTAGCACTAGACTGGCCTACGGATTTGATTTTATCTGTAGCACTGAACCAGCCTACAGATTCCAGTAAAAACTGCTCTGCGCACCAGCACTTGCCGGGCCGACTAGTTAAGAAATACTTACCTGCTTGAAACTGTCATTTGTCATATTTGTAAAAGATGAATAAAATAAACGTGAAATACGGGCGATTCACAATAGCGCACCTCGATGAGTTTGCAGTGCATTGGCCAATCACAATGCGCGACATCTGTCGACCCTTCCTAAATGCGCATGGGGTCGACAGCTTTCGCGCATTGTGATTGGCCAACGCGTTGCAAACGCTTGGGGGCGCTATTGTGTAACGCCCGTATTGCTTGTATGCTTTGTTTATTGGTAATTGTAACCATTTTTAATCTTCCACTTTTACATGTAAGTTTTAAAATTGAATCATGACCCCAGAATAATGGTTGAAATAATGAAGTGGAAAAAATCTAGTCAGAATCAGTGTTTCTTAAAAAAAAATGTGTCCAGTGGGCAAGCGGAGATTCCTGCAAAAAAGTACAAAAATAGGTTAACTTGCCTTTCCGGTTCGTTAAAAGGATACGTACTAGCATACTTGATAAAGAGGACGAGTTACGAACTGGTTCATGTACGGGTAGCTGTTCATTTTGGATTTCAAGCAAAATTTCAATATGGATTGGGGGGCTTAACGAGGGAATGGAAAATTCACACTACGCTCACAAAGGGCTCACTTCACAAGTTGGTACATGGACAATGGGCCGAGTCTCAAATGAAGGCTAGAAAGTACCATTAATAATGCACGAGCTCTTCCCCTGCCTGTCCAAAAGCAAGCGTAAACACCTGCTACAAGTCCATGAGACATATTCAGTGATAAATAGTTCACAGTCTGTGATATCACGTCACGGACTTTGCTCATAAAAAATACATACTCGTACGGTAGATGTATTCATTGTTCACGACTAATATCGTACCTAAAATACTGCCGATATACAGTATACGCGTATTGTGTATAAGTGGGCAGAAACATACCTAATTTTCTCAACAGAGTGAAGTATCGCACAAATTGGCAGTTTTCACATTTCACTATTCAAATAGCAGAACGGCTGCTTCAATATGCCAAATGTACAATGTATTTGGGTCAGTCCATGAGGTTGGGGCGGAATCTGTGATGGTGTCCTTGTTACATCCAAAACTTTCACCACCTGTTCATGACCTCAAGAGCAGGTCGTTTGACTCTGTAAAAATAACACACCCCTCTGTATTCAGCCTTGCAAGATGTATAACAATGTCAATTTGGAATCCACGTGCAGGGAAATAGCTGTTCGTTTTTATGGAACCAGTGTAACAATTGACACCATAACAAATTGTTCCCCAACCGTGTACAAGAGAAGTAACTCATCAACCATTTTGTGAAATGATTGTAAACTTGTACCATTTTGTGGTTCATGTACTTGTTCAAGTATAAACGTGTACAAATGTACATACCGGTATGTACATCATTTGTAGCAGGCTGTGCCACCATTGTAAATTGAATATAGGGTTTCAGCTGACAAATTCGTCAAACTGCAGCCGGTGTTTTTGCTTACTGCGCATTTCCACAGATGCCGATATCTATACTGAAGTGCTAAATTTACATGGACATTGTACTGTGTGATTCTTGCCCGAAATTGCTCAGGATTATCTTTCAAGTTGGTACATGTGCCATAACACCGTTTACCAGGAATGAGAGTTTTATTTTGCCATTTTTCTGTCAGTCACACGTATCTTTCGCAGAGAAATTATGAGACTTAAGTGTTTAATGTACCGTGCGAACCCTCAAAATGAAATTTGTAATCAAAGTTTGATTTAGTGCAAGCTTTGCAGTTTTGGTATCACTGGTTCTTAGCCTGAATGAACCACAGCGTGACTAACTGACGTTTCGGGACCAAATTGCAACCTTCTGCCCATAATCATGGTAATAAACAGCCAGCAAGCCATTTTAGATAGCTCTCCACAGCCCTGTGCAGTGCATCTGACATGCACCAGACCACTGCTTCCATCTGACATGGCCATCTGGATGGCTATAATCTCAAATCACTCTGCCTGTCTTCTGTGCAGATATTTGGGTAGACCCATTGATGAATCCATAACCCATTTTTTCGTGGGGGGGGGGGAATCATTTGGGCACAAATGATTTGGAAATTTCTTTACTTTAACTTAAATGTCCCTACAGACAGATTTGGCTAAAAAAAAAATTTTTACATGATTTTTAAAGGAAGGGAAGTGAAAAAAGTCACCCAAAATTGTCTTTTTCTCGTGATCCCCTCTCCCATTTTTTTTCTCTTTTGGGGCACCATAGCCCACAACCTCCTCCCACTCCCCTCCCCCCCCATCAGCCATTGCCAGGCAGGGCGTTTACATTTGTAAGCTGGAGAATGGGTAAGAACACCAGTGGACTGTTTCTTAAAATTATGATGCATTTTTAACGGATGACTGAACAGGCTAGATACACGTGGGATCAGTGCGCGCTTTACATGTTAGTCAGATGGCTTATTGCGTGCGAGCAAATGCACGCTGAATTCCCGGATGATACAGCACCCAGACATTCGTGTCGTGAGTGCCCAGGAGTACAGCGGGGCCAGCAATCAAAAATGTGCAAAGGTTCATTCATTCGAGTTGAATAATTAACGACAGGAAGGTTTTACCCTGTTCATTGTCAGTTTGAACCGACGGACGGGCGTGCGCTGCTAAGCCAGATGCAGAAGTCAACAACCATTTGCCACAGCTCCATGAGTCGGCAAGTAAGAGCCCACTCATTGATATAAGACTTTGAACCACCTGCTTCAAATTATGTTAAGTGCAAGGCAGCCTGTGCGCTCATGTGCCCGGCCGCGAGTCTTTAACAGCAGGAACAAGCTGACTGCTTTTGACCCTGTAGGCGATATTTTTGCTTTTGGGAAACACATGTGGGTAATTCCAGAAATTAGGGGTCCAAAAGTGTGACATTTTGGTGACCCTGTTACATCCGACCTTTGTTATTTGACGTGGAAATATCACTGGAATTGATTTCAAGCTATTACTATTTGTTTGGCAGGTAATTTGCATTAATTCATTCATCACTCGTGGAAATTAGAAAATGATGTGACAGGGACACAAACAAACATGGCCCCTAATTTCTGGAGTTACCCATCTCGCCAATATTTAAATAACAAAATGACATTCATTATAGAACAAATAGCAGTCTTAATAGGCCAGCATAGACATCCGAAAGCCTTGTTTTCACACCTGTTTTTGCAGAACTACCACGTAAATTCTTCTCAAATCCGAAGCTCCAAATGTGACAGTAATCTCAACCAATGAAAACTGAAAAGATGCTCCAGGCCTATGCCACCGGTATCTGGGCCTGTGCCTTGTGTACAGACGGCACAATCTCAAGGTTGCAAAGATGGATAATGTAGCAGTTAGAATCAGCAAAGGTTATCATTCATTTTAGGGTTATTCCAGAAATTAGAGGTCCAAAAGTGTGACCTTTTGGGTCCCTGTTACATCTGACCTATATTAAAATGTAAGATGGAAGTATCACCGGAATTGATTTTTACTATTACTGTTTGTGCGGCAGGTAATTTGCATTACTTCATCACTCTTGGAAATTAGAAAATGTGTTCTGAACATACCAAATCATATGTCAGATGAAACTGGCTCACGAAAAAAAAATGGACCCCTTAATTTCTGGACTTACCCTTTACACAAGTCAAATAAAGTTTGTTTCATAATGTAGCAGTTATCAGTCACATAAGAGCATTACACGTACATGTACATGTATCCATAGCAAAGATTATCATTCACTTTACTGAAGTCAAATAAAGCCACAGTTGTTGAGCTGGACTTGAGTTGCTTTCTTGCGACCTGGAACGTGACTTGTAACGACCAGTTTTGACTTGTGACTTGACTTCGCGACTTGCAAAAAGTACATGTATGACCCGCTGCCATATCTGCCTGAAGTAGCACTATGATACATGTACACTGTAGATATTTAACCGTAAAGTGTAAGTACATGTACATACATGTAATTATGTTATAAAACTAGTGAGTGAAATTCGATGGTCCATAACTCCTAATTCTTCATGTTGACGTTTGGCCCAGCTCACATAGATACTGGTACATCTGTGAACAAAATAATGTGTGACTTGTCTTGTACATGAACTTGGACAAAGACATTGGTGACTTGCCTTGCGTGGGGACCAAATGACTTGTGACTTTCAAGACTTAATCTGTGATCAAATGGCTTGTGACGTGACAGAACTTGACCTTACATGTGTGACTTTATGACTTGTGACCTGACTTGGACTTGTAGAAAATGACTTGCTGCTATTCCTGCATTAAATACGCATTTTTAAGTTGGTTCAGTCTTGGGCTGCATAAATACATGTATATTGAATAATTTATGCGCTGCATTTTTTCAGTATTTATAGAATGAAGAAAAGAAAAGTTACAAATGTTCTTGATACTCTTAACCATTGTACATGTAATATCCAATTTTTATTAGTTCATCTGCTTAGTTTTGATTGGAGGTCCAGAAGCTGCTGAAACCAGACACAGACTACCGATTAACAGCCATACAGCACACTGCTGTGACTAATAGCTGCAATAGGTGATTGCTTATCATGGAGCGTCGCCGAACATTTTTGAAGGGCATAAATTTCATAAAGCAAAAATTTGTAATGTGTACTCGACACAGAGAAATACTGTCACCATCAACATACATGCATGCCTAGATAAGATAGAATCTCACAAATTATATAAATAAATTGACCCTAGTTAATAAACGACTAGTAGCCATCATTAGGCAAAGAATTATGATAATAGCCAGAAGAGAAGTTATCTCCTTGGCCAATTACCTGTCAACCAAGTCAGTCAAACATCATTTTTTTTTGTTTACCTATCATAACAATAGGTTGCGCTGCTACCTTGTCAACAGTTTGACCGATGGGGGCACCGGTCCTTGTCCATCGCTAGGCAGCAGGATATCATTTAAAAAGCTGCAACAGTGAGATTTTGTGCAGTTGGCTGTCGTTGACCGTCGCTTGCGGCCAGATGCCACAAGACCGAGGATGAGCGGCCGCCAATCCGTAACGGGCCGTAATCCGGACGACCAGCTGAAGGAGAGAGCCAGGATCTTGCAGCTGCTTAAGGACTCCAATCCGGAGTTCAGCGCCAAAAGGCGGGTGAGTGGAAGACTTGGATTTGCTTACTCTTGGAACTCTTCCTCTTTGAGCACTGAACTCTTTCTTTTTGGATGTCGGGACAAGGTGCACCGGCATTGTCATCTTTGGCTCTCTTTTGGTGGCATCTGTTGTCAAATATCTTGAGCCATCAGCTCAGCAGAAAGCATTCTAGTTTGGCAAAATTTGTTGAAAATACACGAAGTAGAGGAGCGGCAGGAATGTTCAGTGTATGAAAGCGTTTTACAGCCTTTGTAGTCAGATCAGCATTTGTGCTTTTTTCAAGGCCTCATTTCGTGGCTTGCTGTAGGTAAAG